GAGATCAACAGATTTATTAATAGCTTTCATATTGTTAAAATGTTTTGATATCATTATATTTTTCCAGATATTTTATTTAATGTCTGTAGAAGGTAGGCATTTGAAAAATAAATTTAAGGTAAAACTTTGCGGAAGTACCTTATAATACAACTACTGCAAATACGACTACTGCAATACGAGTGTCTAAATACACGGAACACGTCAATGTACCAGTGTATACATTCTATGATATTTAGAGGAAAATATTTTATTTTAAAATACGACTACTGCAATACGAGTGTCTAAATACACGGAACACGTCAATGTACCAGTGTATACATTCTATGATATTTAGAGGGAAATATTTTATTTTAAAATAGATTTAAGAAATTGTGAATATAACATAATTATACCTTTTAACACAAAAGCAGGTGATAATGCTTGAGTCTGAAAGACAGTAGATCTTACACACACCCCAGTTAAATTAGGACCAGCCATCCATCTGTAATCATATTCCTNGGATTCGTAGTTTCAAAGTAGTCTTCCCAAATTTCAGTCACAAATGGAAAAGAAAACTCAATATTCCTTTTTTGTGATACCATATTTATAAAATAATATGTTAAAAATGCATACACAAGATCTTGAACATTTAGGCTACATTAAATTTTTAAAATATGCAGATAGGATTTAAATAAAATTTTAACATTAGTCATTAATTTTTACAATTTTTTTTTCTTACTGACATAAGTTTTTCATTGTCTGATCTTATTGATAAGTTTCAATGCCAATGTCAAAATGAAAGAGTGCCATAGGAAAATACTTTTTTCCAGGTACTGAAAAATAGAGTACTTTCAGTTGATTAAACAAAGATGAATTGATAAAAATGCTTTTTGTTAATTTTTGAGAAAATAAACAATAGAAAATCGACGTAATACGATTGGTGAGATTTTAACTGAGTAACATATATTAATAACGAGATTGGAAACAGTTTAATGAAGAAATCCATCGAAATGAAGCTTGGAATGATCTTTCTTATGCTTTTGCTAGTCATGGCTAAAATCAAAGCAGAATCAGCCGAAGAAGATTTAGAAATCGATAAGCCGGATGAAGACATTTCAGATACTGAAAAATCATCTGAAAAACCGACTGATGGTCCTACTGTTGAAGAATTTTCTGAACAAACATCAACTACAGAGTTATATACTTCTCCTGAACCGGTAACTGTTCCTTCTGATATTCTAGAAGCATTGTAAAGCTCGAATCGTTTTTTGAATTTTTGTCAATACATTTAATTTGTTAATTATTTTCAAATGATTATGCGATTTATATGAAGTCTGTGCTGATTTATAATTGAAAATATATAAATGCAATTAAATCCTAGAAATAAAATAAAAAAAGAAATTTTATAAACGTTTTCTTTTTTTAATGCAGTTAAATTATTGGTTTTTGCATTATTTATTATTTATTTATTTATTTATCAGGTGGCCTTCGAAGATTTCCATCCATTTCCAAGAAGATCTGACTTAGCGACTAAACAAACTTATTATGCAAAACTGTTAAAAGATAGCTCGAAAAAAAGAGAAAGGAGGAGAAAATCCTTTGCAGATATGGTATAATTAAGCATAAAATTAGTGTGTTTACCATTTAAAAAATTAAATAAGTAAGTAATTTAATTAGTATAATTGTTTTTTTAAGCTTCCTGAAATGATGATCGATTGGAAATTAAGTGCGACCAGCAGGCCTTGCATCGATTGTGCTACCGTATACGATAACAGTTAGGTTAATTGCAATTTTGTATAAATATTTGTGTGTTTAGAACACAGAAATATTGCTAAAATTTCGTATTTTTCTACGTCCAGACAAACTGTGGNATTAATAATACAAATGTTATTTTTAAAATAAAATTTCATAAATGCCGGAAAAGTTATGCAACTCGTTGCTAGATTTTTTTTGTAATAGTAGGTATTAATCGCCTCTAAACTTTGTTGATAACTAGTTTTGAAATAAATTTTAACCACTGTTATGCATATACTAATAAAATCGCCCTACTAAAAAGTCATAGATCAGGGATAGAAATTTTTAAGTGTGCAAAGCTAACATCGCCAAATCTATTAATCAAAATTTTCTCACCGAAATTTTTGGGACATTTATTATTATTTATTATTGAAGATGTTACGTAAAAGCTATATTTAGAGGATTTTCCATTAAATTAGCAATCTGGGTATTGCAGATATAAGTGTCTTAGAAATATGATATTTCTTCCATTCTTTTATTACTTATTATTTAATAAAACAGTTTATAGTGGCTGTTTTATATTCTATTTTTGTTTAGTATTAGTCCATTCTATTAATAAATTAAAATATACAACTCAACGAAGATGTTAGATATTAATTTATTTTAAAGGTGAATCGTATGTTGAGTGCCACGTTTGGCACATGTTTCAAAAGTTGCCTATCCCTGTTATAGATTATTAACAATACGTTTCAAAGTCCGATACCATTCGAAAATGCAGCTCAAACATATGAACGTGTGTAAAATATATAAATTCAAATTTTTCAGTTACTAATTTTTGGAAATTTTTTATTTAATGTTTTTAAACGGCGGTTGATGAATCAACAAATAACGGGCATGTAGTTTTTGAAAATACAAGTAAACTTTTATTTATTGTTCTGCAATTTGAAAAAATTGTATGTCCTTCCTTGCTAAATCTCAAGAACGGAGTTAAATAGATAAAAGCCGGCAACAAACGTGGAAACAGTAAGAGCAGGAGGCTCCGATTAACTATATACAAACTTTTAATTTAAACCTTATATCACGATATTCAAAAATTTCCTCCGAAAAGACCGTCACACGACTCGATTGCTAAAGAGAAAGTATGATGTGCAAGGGGCAAGCCACTACCAATCTGAAGTAGACAGATTATATTTTTAATATAAAATAATTGCTCGTATTTCTACAAATATTATTAAAAAGTATTAAATAATTTTTTCCTATTGTTATAATAGATATGGCCTATTTAAAATCCAGCAAATTAATACGTCTCGTAAATTCAAGATAAACAGCACACGTTGATAAGTTAAATTAGCATCTAACCTCAAAATTCAAAATCAATTGGCTGAATTTGTAATATTTTTCCGTCGTATCTTAACTTGGAATTTGCCACTGAATAAAAATAATTTTTTATTTTTGCATGTCTTGACAAGGAAAAGCAGAAACAAAATCAACTGTAGCTATGTATGCTTACAGTATTTATACAAGTAGTGACTGATGTGTGACACGAATCGTTCTTACACGTGGCAGAATGAGTTCTACTTTACAATAGCGTCGAATTTCCGGAGAATGCGGATCGAACCAACAATGTATTATTAAAAACACAGTTTTTTTCTTTCTGGAATAAAATACACATAAATAAATTAGAGTATTTAAAACACATACGTCATCGCCTTTTTCTATACATTACAGAAAACACCAAACTAATTTTTAACAGATATATATATATATATATTCTAAAATAGCAGTGTTGTATTATTAAATAAGCAAAATTGCATATCATTTATTTAGTAATTTATGTTTAAAAAAGAATATACCGCCTACATGTTTGACAATGTATCAGAAAAAATAGGCCTATGGCAAGAGCTCTTGCTGAACATTCCTGGCACTAGAACAGTAAATTATGAGAACCGTTAGGAAGTGGGATAATTTTTAATTATATTAGGGAAAAATTTAATCATAAAAAAAAGTAATTTTGTTGAATGATGATAAAAAAAATTGCTATCTAAGAAAATATTTAAAGTTTAAAAACATTATGAACTGGCTCAGAGCTAAAATTGTGTGTGTGGCGCCTTGTGTTATGACATGATACGGTACTATCTTTTATATCATTAATATTTACAAATAATATATAGCAGCCAAATCATACGTTATGAGTGCAAAACTTTTTAAGTTTCTGTCTCCCAGCTGTACCGTACTCTACTTGGTCAAGTTTTACAAATAGAGTGAGCCTAAATTCTTACTCGTTTTGACATTTATAATATATTTAAAAAATCATCTCTACACTAAAGCTTTTTTGTCTTTTTTATTTAAAAAAAAGGCAAAAAATACCGTACTCTACTCGACCAAGAAAAATAATAAATCAAGAAAACCTCAAAATTCAGTTCTCAAAACAAAAATCAGTACAAGTCGACCCCCCTAAAACACTGTTGATAATNTAATTAATACAATCTGAACATCAGTAACCTTTTAAATACAGCCAGGCAGTCGTAATTTTATATTGGTTCATTTTCAATGTTATTTCTCTATGTCTCACTTTTTCTGCACCACCGGTATAGTGCCTAACAGAGTAAAATAACATACACGCAGAATGCACGCTGTAGGTCGTAGAGGTAGTGAAAATATTTAGAGGGGATCCTCAAAATTGAATTGCGCTTGGGTAGGGCTGATCTAGGTTTTTCGTGGCCTAGGGTTTATTGAAGTCCAATGGGGGCCCCATTTTTTGTTAGATTAAGAATCTTTAAATTTGGGTTTAAAATTCAATTTTGATAACATCAAAATCAGAGTTGAAATATATTTATGAAATGGTGTTGAATGGCAAACTTTATATCTTATATAAAAANTAAAAAAAAGGCAAAAAATACCGTACTCTACTCGACCAAGAAAAATAATAAATCAAGAAAACTTCAAAATTCAGCTCTCAAAACAAAAATCAGTACCAGTCGACCCCCCTATAATAGTCAATAATTCCGTTTTATATGAATTCCATGTTGTACGAGTCACTTAGATTTTACAAATACATGAGCCATTCACAGCCCGGCACACGTATTTGTAAAACCTAAGTGACTCGTACAACACGGAATTCATATAAAATGGAATTATCAACAGTGTTATAGGGGGTCGACTGAAATTTAGTAATTCGTGGATATAAAAATAATTTATTTTTATATTTGCTGAAATAACCTTAAATTTTTTTGTTTTTAAATGACATATTTTTTATTATTTTCTAGAGCTGATGATGTGTATTTCTTTCTAGAGCTGATGATGTGTATTTCTATGGTTTGTTTGACGGTCATTGTGGAAAGAAAGCAGCACATTTTGCAGCTCAAAGAATGCCAGCAGAAATCCTATTAGGTCAACTTAAAGGAAATGAGAACGATAAAAGTATAAAAGAATTATTACGAAAAGCATTTTCAACTGTCGAGAAAGGATTTTTTGAATCAATTGATGATCTTTTGGCAGAAAAAGCTAATTTAGAATTTCAGTTGCAGGTATCTATTTATTCATTTTTGATTATTACAATAATTATTAGAGAAACATTTATAGAAGAACATAGCATTAAATAAGACAAAGAAATATTTTCAAATTCTAAAATTACTTTTAAAATTGTACAAATACTTTTGCATCATCAGAATTTTTTCATTTATCAATTATGGCTTTGGTTTCTGTAAACTTTTCTACATATAGAATTTAGGATGTAGACTGTGTGAGTCATGAATATTTGACTTGATAATTTGAAAAATAATGTCTGTTTGACTGTTAAATAATATAATTTTTAGGAAGCAGGAATGTATGCAACGTACAGGAACCAACCAGAAATTATTGACTGTCTTAGAACAATTTCTTCCGAAATTTCAGGAGGAACTACTGCTGCTGTTGCTCTAATTGTCAAAAATAAGCTCTATGTTGCAAATGTTGGTTAGTATTTTTTTTTTAAATAATTGTATTGTATATTCAGTATTATCTATCTATTATATATTAATTTAATATATTATATATTTATTAAATAATTTTTTTTAAAAGGAAATAGCAGAGCCGTTCTATGTAAAATAGATCAGAGTAACTTAATTCATGTTCAGCAGTTAAGTGTCGATCATGATATTGATAATGATGATGAATTACTTCGGTTATTAGAGCTCGGAATGGATGTAGAGAAAATACGCAAGCAAGGAAAATTAGGCAATCAAGAAAATACACGATGTATTGGAAATTATATGGTTAAAGGAGGATATAGAGATTTCGATTCAATACTTCGGTACCTAACTATAAAATAAAAGAAAGATTTTTAAAATGAAATATCAAAATTGAGTATTATACTTATATATTTTTAGAGAATCAAGCCAAGAGCCTGTTATAGCTGAACCGGAAATGTGTGGAGGTATTCAAATAGATGATAGTTGTAGGTTTTTACTACTAATGTCTAGTGGATTATATAAATCCTTAAAAGAAGCTACAGGTACAAAACAGGTAATAAAATATTCATGTGTTTAATATCTTTAAAAATAAAAATTTGTTAATAAATTTTCATTAAAATAATTTTTAGGCAAATCTTGATATATGCAAAATGGTTATAGAACAGTTTTCCATGCATACAACAATTACTGGAGTTGCTCAAGCTGTGGTGGATAAAATTGTAAGAATTCATCATGACATGTATTTAAATAGTCCCGAATCATTAACAGTATGCCAAAAACGAGATGANAAGTGTTTCCAATTCCACTATTTAGTCTTCCATAAAACTAACCATCTACATCTACAGTCGGTGAAAAAATCGGCTTCCACCGCTAAACCGAGTGAGGTTGGTGCTCTGTAAAGCGCGTGCACGAATCTGGCTTTTTGGATGCCGACGACACAACGCTTCCACTCAGCCACTAATATTCGAATATACAATAGCAATCTTATCTTTTTTTCACATGTAGTATAGAAATTTGTAATAAGATACATAATGCGGTTATAATAAAATATTGTGCGATTATAGGGCAGAAAATGTTAAAAAAAAAAAGCTAGCACATTAAAGGAAGATGGAGTTTATTGTAAACTGAAAAATTGAACATTCTATTGTGTTGTCATTCTTACCATACGTTGAAATTGTTATTTTTCACTGTTGTTCAAATAATAATAGTGAAAAAGTTACAGAATTTTATTCCATTAATAGCCACCCTGTAACAGTAAGCACACTTTTTTCCATCTTGGAACTGAACTTTTATTAATTATAGACAGTAGCTGTTTATAAACAATACACTGTAT